GTACCCCCCCCCCCCCCTCCACCGTCCGATCCATTTTGGATCTCATGCCGGAGAGTTTTGGGGTGTCTTAGCCCTACGTCCTCCACCGCCCAATGGGGGACTTGAGCACTTCTTTTAATGCCGTACCAATAGGCATAAACCTTAGGTAAGCTTGTGCTTACTTTGGACTGTACCCTCCTCATCCTCTGGGGGAGGTAGAGGGGGGGGGGGCGCATGGCCTCTATTTTTGAGGGGGGGTTCGGGTACTGGTTGGGGGTTGGGTCCATGTGTACTGCATTCTCGAATTGTCCCCTCACTATAGCTGCTGTGGATTTTCAGTATACAGCCATCCTCACTCAACGCGTCCATGTGTCCGGCAATTTCCAATACGAATCAACCTGTGAGGTTTCAGCATGCAGCGTTCTTCACTCATTGCGTCTATGTGTCCGGCAGTCGCAAACGTCGCTCAACCCGTTAGGTCTCGATATGCAGCTATCCTCACTCAACGCGTCTATGTGTCTGGCAACCTCAAAAACCAATGCATCTGTGAGGTTTCAGTATGTAGCTATCCCCACTCAAAGCGTCTGTGTCTGGCAAACTCAAAAGCCAATCCATCTGTGAGGTTCCAGTATGCAGCTATCCTCACTCAACGCGTCTATGTGTCTGGCAACCTCAAAAACCAATGCATCTGTGAGGTTTCAGTATCAGCTATCCTCACTCAACACGTCTATGTTTCCGGCAATCTCCATCACAAATCAGCTGTGAGGTTCAGATTGTGTCTATCCTCACTCAATTCGTCTATGTGTCCGGCACTCCAACACCACTCAACCCGTGGGGTTTCAGTATGTAGCTATCCTCACTCAACCCGTCCATGTGTCTGGCAATCTCAAACCTTACTCAACCCTTGAGGTTCAGTGTACAGCTACAATCACTCAACACGTGTACGTGTCCGGCAATCTTCTACATCACTCAACCTGTGAGGTTTTCGTAAACAGCTATCCTCACTCCACTCGTCCATGCGTCACGCGTCTTTTGTAGCGCATACTATGGGGGCTATATTTGGGGTGGCGTGTTGTACAGCGCTTTGCCAACAGCGCCAACCCACTGAAGTCTAGAGGGGGCGGGGGGAGCACACTGAGAGGTGGCTTACGACGTAGCACTCGCGACAGCCTCCCAATTGCGTGACGCTATCATCAACGTCTGGTTTAAGCGTTCGAGGCCCGGCTCGGGTATGTATCCAAGCGGGGCTCCGCGTGCACGCATGCGCACATCTTCACAGATTGCGAGCATGCGTGTTTGCCAATCGGTTGGCCTCTTGTCTGCCCTTAATACCCCCTTAAGCTTGACCCAACGGCTGCGAAACACCGCAACACCAGGCTGAGCCTTTCGCTTTCTAGTAATTTCCTCGACCTAGCCCTTTGGGCTTCATGTTTTCACGCCTCTTCACTGATCGGTGATCCAAACGCCAATAGTACCATAAATGACACAAGATAACACACCCCCTGGACCGATTTTCAAATCTTGATTTCTCAACAACCGAAGGAGTCACGGTGCCGAAAACGGCGGCGTTGGAACCGTCTCGTCGAGAGCTTTCCAGAAATGTATCGTTTCGTTCATGCATCCTCTTCGTCGTGGAGTGAGCTTTGAAAATTGGTACAGGGGGTGTGTTATCTTGTGTCACATACGGTATATCACTCGCCTCGCGGTTGCACTGCGTGTCAAGAGAGGGAAAACAGAGCATGTGTTGGACCTGGCCGTTGTTTTTTCGACGCGGTGGTTCAAAGATAGACGGATGCATTGCCCGACAAAATCGGTCCTCCCTGCCAGGTGAAGTCCCCACGACAACCCATAAAACGTAGTTGCTGAACTCGTACCTTTGGATTGCGCGCAGCTTCCTTCACGGCCGATCGCAAGGCCTCGACGGTCTTACTCGAGTCGTCGCCAAGGAGGAAGGCTGCGGCGGGCGAAGTCTCCAACGATCTGAAAACAATCTGACGGCGCCGTCGTGACAGGAAAGCGAGGGCAGCCGTCAAACCTAGGTAGTGGTTTCCTCCCTTCGTCTCTCTCGCTTTCGCTAGTTGCCGTAAACTTCCTATCCCCGGGGCAAGTCACTTCTTGTGTCTCGGCTTGTTCGGGTCTAGGCTATTGTTGGACCATTTCGTCGTGTACCGTACGCGTCATTCCGTGGGATGTTCCGGCAGCAAGCAGGCCTTTGCCGCGGGGTTACCCATGAACGGTGTGTCGCAGGCAGGAGGCCCGACTGGATTGGAACGGTGAAGGTATGAATACTTGTAGGCTTCGCGCCAAGTTGTGGCTGCCACCAGCGGAAAACTCAAAACTGGAAAACCCAAAATAGAGCGTGCGTTGTTCATCTGCAGGTTGGTGTGGCGTCGAGTCATGACTGACAACGCTCGGTGCCGAGATACCTGTGGGCGGGCATCATCTTGGTAAGGTCACAACACACAGCCGCGTGCCTAGCGGGTGTGATCGTCCTACAGCAGTAGACTTGTGGTAATACGATAAGCTCGTGTAACTCACATCGAACGGTCGAAGGCCTTCCGTTCGCGCGAACGCAGCCGTGAGCGCTTGGTGCCATACTTCGATAATGCGGTCTCGGTCAGCAGCCGAAGCGTGGCAGAATACGCTCCTAGAGTTTTTGAAGCTGCGTTGTTGGCNGGGGGGGGGGGGGGGGGGGGGGGGGGGGGGGGGGGGGGGGGGGGGGGGGGTGATTGTGTGAACGGTAACGATCCCATGTGTAGCACGGTTCGTCTTGAGTCTCGGAGACACAGATCGTCAGGCCGAACGAGGGGAGTTGATATCTTCCTGTCTCGTTGCTCGCTCTCTAGTCTAGTAGTCCAGTGGCGGTGGATCGTATTTATTTCTGTATTTCTACAACCGGCGATATTCTCCACAACATGGCGTGTTCATAAGTTCTCGAACCTACACAATCTCGAGCATACATTTTGCTAAGAAATCGCTGCCGTACGTACAGATAGATTCCCAGAACACGTCCGCACCCTTGCACAAGACACACACATGAAAAAAGCTTAGGACCGTTTTAAACGGACCGACTTTTTTGTCCAAATTTTCGACAGTTGTCTTTCAAAAACTTGGAACCTGTGTGCAGTCATTTTAAACGTGTGACGTAGACTTGTGCAACTTGTGTCAAAAAAAATGACGCCGTCCGTGAGTTGTAGCGCTCACTTCGAGACAACACAGACGACACAACACAAACCGCGGAAAACACGACATCATGGACACCGACATGGATATCACGACCACCCAGCGTGGCCGGCAGACCAAAACCCCGGCGAAATTCCAGCAGACGGGCTCTCTCGGTGCCGCCGTAGGCGGTGGAGGCTTGCTCTCCAGCAAGATAGTGCTGCTGCCTGGCATCTCGGGGAACACTCATGTTACCACGGGAGGCGCTGCCGCCACCAACACTCCGCCGGCGAGGGGTGGCAACCACTGCTCCTACCCCCCCGGGAAAAGGAAAAAACAAAGCGGCGGACGCGAAGCAACAACTGCAAGCCATCATGGCGGACCGCCGTTTTTTTTTTTTGTATTGCGCGTGCCCGTGGGCGAGGAGAGCCGCTCGAATCTGTAGGCGCGCCGCGCTTTCTACGGTCGGCCATGACCCACACACAACCCTAGCTGACTTTCTACGGTGAGGGGCACTCGTGGTGCAGACGCAGCAGCCCTCGCGTGCCTCTGCAAGGGTACTTTGGAAAGTGCTCCAAATACTTTGAGAGGGTTGTCAAAAAGTTGGAAC